AGAGGGAAAGGATGAGGAAGAGGAAGAGAGGAGAGAGAGAAGAGAGAAAGGATGAGGAAGAGAGGAGAGAGGAGAGAGAGAGGGAAAGGATGAGGAAGAGAGGAGAGAGAGAGAGGGAAAGGATGAGGAAGAGGAAGAGAGGAAGGAGAGAAGAGGGAAAGAATTTGGAGAAGGAAGAGGAGGAAAGAAGAGAAGAAGGAGAGGGTGAGAGAGGAGGAGAAAGGCGGCAGAGGAGGCAGGGCAGTGGCCTCTCTCCGGTCTGTGGGGAAGGTGGCCTCCTATGTGTATGCTCTCCTGGGTCTCCCTGCACTCAGTGCAGATGGGGTGGGCTATGTTGAAGCGTTTGCGGTGGATGCCTCGTTAGCAGACACGCATCCCTGGCATCAGGCTGTTGCTGGCCGTCATGGTACCACACTTGCTTACTGAGAATGTCCGCATCCCAGAGTGGCTGCCCTGTCTCATTTGTAGCTCATGGGCCTTCTGTGGAGGGCCGTGGTGGCACCTGAGCAACGGGCTTGGTTTAGGAAGCTGCTTTTGTTTCCTTTGCTTTGCTTTGCTTTCTGTACCCCAGGCTAGTCTTGAACTCACTCTAGAGCTGAAGATGGCACCGACGTCTTGACTCTCCTGCCTCCACCTCCCCAGTGCTGGAACTACAGGTGTGCCCCGCCCTGACTAGTTTCTATGGCACTGGCAGTGGAAGCCAGGGCTTCAAGCATAGCAGCCAGGCGCTCCCTGGCGGAACCGCACCCACAGACTGCAGGCGGGCCCTCAGCTTGCAGTGGCAGGACCTCGCAGCTGTGCCTCCGGGCTCAGCAGAGCGCCTTTTTTTTTTTTTTTTTTACCACGTTCTTTCCTTTTGTACCTTGGTCTCATCAATTGAATTTCGAAATCAGTTTCCAAGACAGGTTCTCACTCTGCAGCCCTTGCGGGCCTGGATCTTTCAGCCCTGCCACCACAGCCTCCCCACCCTGGAATTACAGGCCTGTACCACCACATCCACGTTGCCCACTTCCTCATCGAAGCTTCTCCCTCCACAGCCTTGACCTGCCCTCAGAACAGCAGGTACTCCCTGTGTGCCAAGCCATGCCCGGAAACCTGCCATCCTGGAGCTGCTTCCCAGCCCTGCTCAGACGAGTGTGTGGAAGGCTGCGATTGTGACCCTGGCTTCATCCTCAGTGGTTTGGAGTGTGTCCCTGAGACCCAGTGTGGGTGCACCAGCCTTGAGGGACACTACTTCAGGGTGAGTAGCTGGTGTGAGCCCTCAGCCCCACAGATGGTTCTGAAGTCCTGGGCTGAGATGGGAGAGGGCAGATAAGAGAAGGCCAGGGAAAAAGCAAGAGTAGTGAAGGCTGGTATACCAGACCCATGATCTGTTCCCTCTAGTCTCCTCTCTTCTTCCCTCCCCTCCCCTTCTTCCCTTTCCTGGCTCTATTTTAATTTCCTTCCTTCCCTCCTCCTTTTCCTTCTTTTGATTTTGCTGAAGATGGAACCCAGAGCCTTATGCATGTTTAGCAGGAGCTCTACCACTGAGCCACACCCCAGCTCATCACTGGAGGATTCTAGGCAGGGGCTCTACCACTGAGCCACACCCCAGCCCCTCACTGG